AAATAAACCTTTTCATGTATGGACAATTGATTTTCAACAATGGTCCCAAGATAATTCAATGGGAAAAAATAGTTTTCAAAAAATGGTCCTGGGACAACAGGGTATTCAAATGCAAAAGAATAACTCTGGACTATTATCTTATACCACCCATACAAATTAACTCAAAATGGATCATAGACCCAAATGGTAAGAACTAAAAATATAAAACTCTTAGAAAAAAACAGGAATGAACCTAAAAGACACTGGATTAGGCAATGATCTTAGACATAAAACCAAAAACACAAGCAACAGCAACAAAATAAATAAAATGGACATCATCAAGATTAAAAATGTCTCTGCTTCTGGAGGGACCTGGAGTGTATTATGCTAAGTGAAATAAGTCAATCAGAGAAAGACAAGTATCACATGATCTCACTTACATGTGGAATCTAAAAAACAAAATAAACTGATGAACAAAATAGATCCAGAGACATAGAAACATGGAACAGACTGTGGAATCTCAGAGAGAAGGGGGGGGGGGGGGACGGATGGATGGGAAGAGATCAACCAAAGAACTTGTATGCATATATGCATAACCCATGGACACAGACAATAGGTGGTGAAGGCCTGGGATGGGGTGTGAGTGTGGACTAGAAGGGGACAATGGGAATGAAAGGGGACATCTATAATACTTTCAACAATAAAGATAAAAATTTTTAAAAAGAATAAAAATGGTTAGTGCTACAATTAAGCACAGTGCCTATATTATATACTTAAAATTTGCTTGGGTTAGATCTTATGTTAAGTGTTCTTAATACATAGACACACAAATAATAATAGTAATAATTATAAGGATGGGAAAAAACTGGGAGATGATGGATATATTTATGGCCTTAATGGTGGTGATGGTGTCATGGGTGTATACTTATCCCTAAATTCATGGAGTTGTATTCATTAAATGTGTACAGTGTTTTATATGTTAAACTATACCTTAATAAAGTGGTTTTAAAAAAAAGAAAAAATAAATAAATAAAAATGTTTGTGCTTCAAGGGGTACTAGCAATAAAGGGAAATGGAACCACATAATGGGAGAGAATAATTATAAATTATATCTGATAAGTGCCTAGCATCAATATATAAAGAACTATTAAAATTCAATAATAAAAAGACAAATAACCTTATTAAAACAGTAAAAAAATCTGAATAAACATTTTCCAAAGAAGGCATATAAATGGCAAATAAGCACATGAAAAGATGCTCAACACCTTTTGTCATTAGTCATTAGTAATGACATGATTAGTCATTAGGGAAATGCATATCAAAACTGTAATGAGAGAGCACTTCATACTCACTAGGATGGCCATAATCCAAAGGACATAATAGGAAGTGGTGGTAAGGAGGTGAAGAAAGTGGAATCACCATCTATTGCTGCTGGGAATATAAAATGGTGCAGCTGCTTTGGAAAATGGTCTGGTAGTTCCTCAAATGATTTAAACATAAAGTTACCATATGGCCCAGCAATTCCACTTGTATGTATATACTCAAGAGAAATGAAAACACATATCCACAAAAACTTTGGACATGCAGCATTATTCATTATATCTGAAAATTGGAAAAACCCCAATATCCATCAATGGGTGAATGGATAAACAAAATGTGGTATATTCATACAATGGAATATTATTTAGCCATAACAAGGAATGAAGTATTGGTACAAGCTACAACATGGAGAACCTAACAAAAATTATTGAAAAATTATAGGCTCTCTGCTCCCCCTGTTCATCAGAAAACCTCTCTTCCTGAGCTGTGCCAGCAGCCACAACCCTGAGACACGATGGTGAAGGTCGGAGTGAACGCATTTGGCCGCATTGGGCGCCTGGTCACCAGGGCTGCTTTTAACTCTGGCAAAGTGGATATTGTCACCATCAATGACCCCTTAAATGACCTCAACTACATGGTGTACATGTTCCAGTATGACTCTACTCATGGCAAGTTCAAAGGCACAGTCAAGCTGAGAATGGGAAGCTTGTCGTCAATGGAAAGTTCATCTCCATCTTCCAGGAGCGAGATCCCACCAACATCAAATGGGGGGATGCTAGTGCTGAGTATGTTGTGGAGTCCACCTGTGTCTTCACTACCATGGACTAGGCTGGGGCTCACTTGAAGGGCAGAGCCAAGAGAGTCATCATCTCTACCCCTTCTGCGGATGCCCCCATGTTTGTGATGGGTGTGAACCATGACAAGTATGACAACTCCCTCAAGAGTGTCAGCAATGCCTCCTGCACCACCAAATGCTTGGCCCCCCTGGCCAAGGTCATCCATGACAACTCTGGCATCATGGAGGGACTCATGACCAGTCCATGCCATGACTGCCACCCAGAAGATCATGGATGGCCCCTCTGGGAAGCTGTGGTATGATGGCTGAGGGGCTGCCCAGAACATCATCCCTGCTTCTACTGGCGCTGCCAAGGCTGTGGGCAAGGTCACCCCTGAGCTGAATGGGAAGCTCACTGGCATGGTCTTCCGTGTCCCCACCCCCAATGTGTCAGTTGTGGATCTGACATGCGGCCTGGAGAAAGCTGCCAAATACGATGATATCAAGAAGGTAGTGAAACAGGCATCAGAGGGCCCCCTCAAAGGCATCCTGGGCTGTACTGAGGACCAGGTTGTCTCCTGCGACTTTAACAGTGATACCCACTCCTCCACCTTTGATGTTGGGGCTGGCATTGCCCTCAATGACCACTTTGTCAAGCTCGTTTCCTGCTATGACAATGAATTCGGCTACAGCAACTGGGTGGTGGACCTCATGGTCCACATGGCCTCCAAGGAGTAAGAGTCCCCTGAACCACCAGCCCCAGCAAGAGGAAGAGAGGCCCTCAGCTGCTGGGGAGTCCTTGTCCCAGATCGATCCCCTGACACATTGAGAATCTCCTGACCACCGTTTCCATCCCAGACCCCCTGAAGAAGGGGAGGGGCATAGGGAGCCCTACTTTGCCATGCACCATCAATAAAGTTCACTGTACCCAGCCAAAAAAATAAAAGGATCTAATTATAAAAGACTATAAATAGTATAATGACATTTACATGAAATATCTAGAATAGGAAAATCTATAGAGACAAAAAGGAGATGAGTGGTTGCCTAGGGCTGGTAGTAGGGATGGAAAGTCACTGCTAATTGGCAAGGGATTTTTAAAGTGAGGAACAAGTTCTAAAATGAGATTGTGTTGATAGTTGTACAACTCTGTGAATATTCTAAAAATCATAAAATTGTATATTATAAATGGGTAAATTATAAGGTATGTGAATTATACCTCAATAAGTCTGTTAAAAAATAATCTAGGACATGGGTCAGGATACTTTTCTGTAAAAGGCCACAGAGTAAATATTTTAGGCTTTGTCAGACACATAAACTCTCTTTCACATATTGTTCTATATTTTCATTTACAATCTTTTACAAATGTAAAAACCATTCTTAACTCTGAGGGTATAGAAAAACAGACTGTAGGCCTGATTTGGCCAGTTAGCAGTAGTTTATCTGCACCTATTATAGGTAAAAGATGTGGTTTCTTGATAAATTATAATTACTATATTTTTAAAAGCATCTCTCACTTCCTCCTAACTCATACTCAGGAGATCAGAGACAATGTTGATAAGATTATAAAGGATAGCTACAGTCCTTTATCATCTATTTATCTGGAAATATTCCACGTTAAGAGGATTTACAGAACAAGGAACTGATGTATTTAGTAGAATCCAACAAATCCTCATTAGAAAGACAGAGCATCATTCATACAGACTGAACTTAGATGGTGAAAGGCAGAAGTGCATCTTCAATTACCTAAACAGAAATCCTTTCAAAGGCAAAGGAAATTATATAAGGGTTACTAAGATAGTTCTTAGGAAATATTAGGGTGTGCAAGAGAAAGAACAGAAAAAAAGAACAGTTGTTAGAAACAAACAAAATAATTAAGAGTTTGTACTTAAGATTTTGTGAAATTTCCCTCACGTCAATTTGATCTCCATTCACTGAGATACAAAATTTAATATCGGGACTACCAACTTAAAAGGAAAACTTTAAAAAAGTTAAAAGCACTATGCAAAAACAATATGTTATTACTATTTTTTAGTAAAGCATAAAAATCTTATTGAGAATAAAATTACATTTGCCCTCACTTGTTAAGAAGCAAAATTGTTATTTTTTTGTTTTGCTCTGGGGCACATAGATTCTTTTCTCATCTTTTATAATGGAAAGGTTTCTAAAAAGGGGATATTTTACTCCTCAGGGATAAGAGCTCTGTCTTCTTTATTCCCAGTATTTAGCAGAGTGTTGGTACTCAAATGTTTTTTGAGTTATCCTCAACAAGGGAAGAGAAAGGAAGGAAAATGTGTCACCAGAAATCTGTGAGAGTTTGTTCCAGATCTGAAGAATCATATATGAAAAAAGAGATTAACCAAAGAGAATAACCAGGCAAGAAGGATTTATATCCATTGGAAAGAAAAGAAGCTGGCAAATATGAGAAATTGGGAAGACTTTTTGTTGTTTTTGTCTAGGTAAAAGAAAAAAAGGAGATAATTTAGGCAAAGGTAGGAATTCTGTCTTCTTGTTAAAATTGAGTTGATAATAAAATATTTAAGGACATGGGCCAAAGAAAGCAAATGCAATTGAGCAAAGAACAACAAGCCACATAAATAATTTCAGATGGCTTATCATCAAAGCTGTAGAAGTAGAGGAGTTCTTCCTTAAAGAATATGTGAAAGGAAACAAAAGAGAAAAAACTCCTATGGACCACATATGATCACAGGGAGACGATGAAATTAAAGAATATTTAAGGGACATTTTAAAAGAAGTGACATTCAATCTTTTAAAAAGATGCCAAGCCAAAGGTAACCTTTAGATGCTGCTGGAAGGAAGGAAATAATTCTTTAAAAAAAAGAAAATAAGAAAAGGACTGCATCAGGGAAGGCAGACATACCAAATAGCACACTGAAATCTTGTGTTTTATTTGAAGGTTGCACATTACCTGTTCAAAAGCTGTTGAAGCTTTTCTCCCTTGCTCTAGATCAACTGAAGCTGCCATCAGTAAACATGTTTTCTGTGCAATCAGAATTACTTGATCAGAAGGACAAAACTGGGACAGCTGATAAGAAATAACCAGAACATTAATGAATAGTGAGAATTCTGCCAAGCGAACACAAACAATCAGAATGAAAATCAGCAATATTCTGTCTGAATGAGAAAATTCAGCTGGAAAAGCACATCTCACTTTAAAAATGATATAGACTATAACATTAATTTACAGTTTCAATTTTATATTACTTTCTATTGTTTTTAAGCACCTTTCTAGAGATAAAATGGTTGATTTCTTCATAATTTTCCTATCTTTCCCAGTAATAAGTACTGTCATTTGGCCCTGTATTTCTATTTAGTGATCTATTTCTTGGTTTATGTGTTAATTTTTAAGTGATTCCTCCTCCCCCCAGCAAACAGATTTCCCTATTGTATTGTGTAGAACTGAAATTAGTCCATATATTGCCATGGTTGAAAGAGACAATGCCAAATCTTGACAGGCATTAGACATAACCTCATCATTAAACCTTGTCCTCTAGCTTTAGGAAAAAACTCCCTGATTTGCATTAAAATAAAACTCTAGACCACTTGGGATTTTCACATGGAATCCTACTAGTGCTACAACAAATGTCAAAACTAAAAGCAATTTATTTCACTTAATTAATTAAAATTATACCCGAACTTCCAAAGACTATTTCTTAATCTTCCCAAATGTTTAGTTGACCATCACTGAATTAATAGCATTTCAAGACACCCAATCTCTCTAGGTGTCAAGTTACTCGTATCTAAGACCACAGAGTTGTACTAGATTATAGTTCTCTCCAGTTTGAAAACTCTTACCATTTAATCAATATAGCAAACTGCATACTCCTGAATGTGTATGAACAATATTCTTTAGCATGTCTTCTTTTATTCTTTCATCAATCTTTGTTTTTCTTTCTGGCATTTAACTTCTACCTTGGAGGCGAATAACTATTTAAAAATGCTTATAATTGGAAAACAAGCTCACAAATCTTTACATACAGAACCTGCTCTACAAAATAGTAGGAAAAAGTAGGCCCAAGCTTTTTAGGATCCTTTTTACTCCATGTTGTCCCCAGATATCTATTCTATATTCCTTTAGACTTATACCCTTAAACCTTACTAATATTTTGATAATTGACAAATTGTTAGAGGATTTCCCTCCTAAAAATAGTTATATTTTAATATAGGCCTCTCAGAGACTGAAATTCCTTCAAAGGCAAAGAAGTCACTTGTGGCAGAACTTTAGGCTCCATGATGGTCGTCAGCGATATTTTGATATGGTGAGACCTCCTTCATGCTCTCACATTATACCCTATAGCATGGGTGGGGAACATCTGGCCCACAGGCCATATTAGGCCTTCAAAATCATTTCATCTGGCCCTGCCAAGGCATTCAGGGTGAGTTCATTAAACGTTTGACCAAATATAGCAGGCTATTTTTTTTTATTGCTTAAAATATTACAAAGGGTATTACATATGTGTCCTTTTTTTCCCCCCGCCCTTGACAATCCCCTGGCCTCCCCTACCCCCCAGTGTCTTATGTCCATTGGTTATGCTTATATGTATGCATACAAGTCCTTCGGTTGATCTCTTACCCCCCTCCCTCCTGCCCCCCAACCCTCCCTGGCCTTCCCGCTGCAGTTTGACAATCAGTTTGAGGCAGCTCTGCCTCTGTATCTATTATTGTTCATAAGTTTATAATGGTCTTTATTATCCATGAATGAGTGAGATCATGTGGTATTTTTCCTTCATTGACTGGCTTATTTCACTTAGCATAATGCTCTCCAGTTCCATCCATGCCATTGCAAATGGTAAGAGTTCCTTCTTTTTTACAGCAGCATAGTATTCCATCGTGTAGATGTACCACTGTTTTCTAATCCATTCATCTACTGATGGGCACTTAGGCTGTTTCCAGATCTTAGCTATGGTGAATTGTGCTGCTATGAACATACGGATGCACATATCCTTTCTGATTGGTGTTTCTGGTTTCTTGGGATATATTCCTAGAAGTGGGATCACAGGGTCAAATGGGAGTTCCATTTTTAGTTTTTTGAGGAAACTCCATACTGTCTTCCATAGTGGCTGCACCAGTCTGCATTCCCACCAGCAGTGCACGAGTGTTCCTTTTTCTCCACATCCTCTCCAGCACTTGTCGTTTGTTGATTTGTTGATGATAGCCAGCCAAGCAGGCTAATTTTTAAGCTGATAATTTTTTTAGCATATTAGGCTTTTATTATATAGGATAAAGACAACAGGAAATTTCTAGTTCTGAAGTTTGGTCCTGAGGTAATATAAATGTCCCCAAAATGACAATTATAAAACATAATCCAAAAGAGAATATAATGCAGGACTTGTAGATACTGGTGAATATTGAGTGGTGAGAGAAGGGAAGGTGAGGTGGATGTAGGATAACCTTTCACAATCACCTTAGAATCACTGTTCATTATTCTTCCAGCTCCCACAACAGAAAGAATGAGTAAAATATTTTTCATTCAGTAGTTTTTGGCATAAATAAAGCACATTCTTATGGAAATATCACCTGTGTTCTGAATAGTCATATCAATTATCAGAAAGCCTGCTTCCAGCATAAGGACATTTGTGCTTAATTTTCTGCATTGAGAATTTGACATTTTTCTAACCAAAGTTTTATAAAGACTAAGTTCCTATTAACTTTGTTTTCCATGAATCATCACATATAAGTTGTTTGCAAATAATAATTATGGATTCATAGTGCCCCCATTTTCTTCTTTTTTTAATTTAATTTAATTTTTTAAAGTATTACAAATAGTAGTACATATGTCTCCTTTTTTTCCCCATTAACCTCCCTCTGGACTCCCAGACCCCCCAGCACATGCCCTCCCCCTCCCCCAGTGTCTTACACACATTGGTTATGCTTATATGCATGCATACAAGTCCTTCAGTTGATCTTTTACACCCCCAACCCTCCCCTTCCTCCCCGCTGTAGTTTGACAGTCTGTTCAATGCTTCATTGCATCTGTGTCTATTTTTGTTCATCAGTTTATAATGTTCTTTATATTCCACAAATGAGTGAGATCATGTGGTATTTATCTTTCACTGACTGGCTTATTTCACTTAGCATAATGTTCTCCAGTTCTATCCATGCTGTTGCAAATGGTAAGAATTCC